TAAATCATTCAAACCACATTTAACAAATTTCCCTCAATACTCATCAATAATTACGAGAACAACAATAACCTGGTTATAATGTATCAGTACAAAGAGCTATAGTTCTGTGTTGACCTTCCATTATTATTTTTTATTCCGCACTCTGGTCGGGTCAAAGCTTTAATCATTTGTCTTCCTGCCTTTGTTACAAACAATCCACATAAAAACTTTCGTTTTACCATTAGGTTTCTACAAATATGATAGCTGTATACATTTTCCCCGTATTATTTTGATTAAAGGTCTGCATGCTTATTGTAGTCATATTCTTTATTGTCGAGGAATAGCATAAAGAAAATGGTTACAGTTGTATAAGTTGGGTTAGATATTATCGTTAAATTTGCCCTTCGATCAGGCTGTAAATAGAGCGAATAACGCACATGATTTATAGCTGTTTTTATTACCTAATGTACAGGCCAAAATATCATTCTGCAAAATGAGTTTAAAAGGTTTCAATTCATCAAGAAATATTAGAAATCAATTGCATGTGTTGGTTTGTTTAACAGTAAGTGTACTCTTTACGAAGTACCTCTTTGACTATCCCACTCAATCAGAAGTCAAAAGTGAAGGTATGCATCATTAACACCTACAACCTATTCAGAACCACAAAGACAGCCTACCCAGACATCCAATCAACTGTAAACTGAATAAAACACATTCGTATACATATATATAGACCCAAGGCTACAGGAGAGGATTGAGCCAGACTGCTTTGAATAATGAATGTATTAGATGTATATACCTTCACGAAGGTGAGATAACCTTGTCCTGTCTGAACAAATATACTTTAGACAAACTCAAATGCAAACTTTTGAAAAAAGTCAAATATTTAAAAGAAATTCTTGAATTGAGCAGCACTGTAAACCTCTAAAATTGATGCTTCAGGTTTTCAAAATGAAACTAAGGATATTAAGAATTGGTAAATTTTGCACTGAAGAAAAGGGAAGAGCTAGAATTAAAGGAAATATTTGTTAAGAAGCAAAACATAAACAGAAGAATCATAATTACTTTGTAGAATGAATGTTATTTAATGTTGTTTTTTTACACTGACTGGCCAGAACAATCAAGAATACACAATCAAGAATTCATTGACTAGTCAAAATAGCCAAGAATTCATTGACTGGTGAAAATAGCCAAGAATTCATTGACTGGTCAAAATAGCCAAGAATTCATTGACTGGCCAGAACAACAATAAAGAACTAGATTTATTGTTATAGCTGCAATATCATCTCAATGTCTCTATTGCTCATTCGACAGTGGAACCATCAGTATTCAGGTGCTCTGTAGTTGAATGGGGGCAGTCAAATCTGTTGTCCCAAGGTGATGGGGAAGACCCAGAGAATTGTTTGTTGAACTCGTTCACCCCTGAAATTTCATAATGAACTATTCCAACCTTTGAATTAGAAGCGTTCAAATGTGTCTTCAGGGGTGAATGAGTTAAGGTAGAACACAACATGTACATCCCTCCAGGTCTTCCCCAGCAACAAGTCATCCTCCATCACTCAGACTGTCCTTACTGTTGTTTATACAAAACATTGTACATTGTCCTCCATATGGGACTGTTTTAGAAGCTAGATATTGAATTACAATGATATCCCGACCTGCATACAGGTTGATGCATCCATTTGCTTTTCAATTTTTAAATTGAAGGGAACAACAATTTGACATTCATTCCTCAGCAACTCCACAAGACCATGCACGAACCCTTTACAAACAATTCCAATAAATATTCATCTAATCAATAAAATGTACATGACAGCTATACATGTACAACAATGTATATTTGACAAAGATGTTTTTCAATTACACGACCGACATGATGGAATTCAAAGTGCACAGACACAGAGGAATGAACATAGATTAAATCTGTCATTCCCGTTCAAGATTAACATTTTTCTAAAGAAGTATAAGACAGATTTTCACTTGAGGAGGACATTTATCAAAGTGTGAAAGCTAAAACTGTCATATTGCCTGTTTTAGACTAGAATAGCCAGCCACTGTACAATCACTAACAGAATATATAGCCTACACAAATCCGATATCGGGGTGCTGGTGTTGATGTTATAACCATAATATTGTTGCCTAACATAGCATGAAATGTCAATAGCTCGGATCACATATTAAAAAGAAGGGATCAGAAATCTGACGTCATCGACTGTCGAGAGCAAACATCTGGTCGCTACCTACACATTTTCACACAAGAATCAATTACGGAAATGTCCGAATGTCAGGCGATTGATGAATGGAGAGGTAATGAAAAGCACATAGATCATGATAGACATTATCTTGGCCAAACATACACACACATACGACCACAGATATTGAAATGGCGGTCAACTTACTATAACATTACAACCCATGTCACGGTATGATAAAGAATTTTTCAAATCCAAAAAAGATACAAAATTCAAAAAAGATACTTCCAAAATGATACTTATTTTTACAGGGAACGTATCCTCTATATTTTTTGATAAAAGGAATATAATACTGAAATGCAGTTGATATTTCTTGGCTACAATCACTTTTTGTGTCAATGAACCCAGGTATTAATTACAAACATTAGCTTCTATAGTACAACACTGCAATAACTTCTGGCCAAATATTTTGTATCTAATATGAGGACAGTACATGACATATAGCTGAGAAAACCATTTGTTGAGCAAACTGTGATCTCAAACAAAATTACAATGATAAATCTTCAGAATAATTCAACTACAACATTATTATTTGAAGGAAACTTTATCTTGGTTTCTTCTCTTTCGCTGTGACAAAATACATGACACAAAATGACCTTATCAATAACTATGATTGCCTCGTCACTGTTATACTAAGGAATGAGATTGGTATTTAAATGGTCATTGCTCAGAGCTTCAGGGAGAACCACCCACTTAATTATCTTTCAAATTTGCATTTAAATTTCCAATCAAGGAAATGGATAATGTATTACAACAACTTTTGTAAAATAAAAGGGCACTGTCCTGTGGATGAGAGATCTCAAAGAGATATGATGAACAGACAGATACGGCATATCTTTGAATGTGTCCAAAAGTGCACTGTCATTAAATGGCTGTATTTAACATTTAAATCATAGAAGGTGGATGACCATTTGACCACCCACGACAATTGCATGTGTACTCTAATTGGACTTTCCGAGGTTCCATATTCATAATGAAAAAATGTTTAATATACTCAACAGTTAATTATATTTTAAAGATCCATCTAAAAACTGTAATGCCAAATGGTATGTAGACAATTTGATGTACCTGGTATTTAGTCTTTCAAGATATATTGTCCTCACTGGACAGTTAGCTTAAGTAAAAATAAAGACATATCTTTCATGAAAAGTGACCAGTCTCAAGACAACTAGTCTCCCCAGATAGGTGGTTCTCTGAAGATAAACAGTTTCTAGATTGACAGTTCTCTGAGGACAGGTGTCCTTGCCTTCGGCATGTAATCTCTCTCAGCAGTCATATCTTTTTAGACCGGAAATATCTCAAGATAAAGGTTCTCCAAATACTGACGTTTCATTCCATAGAGTGACACTCTCACATTAGGCATGTGGTTTCTCTGGATAAAAAATTACACTCAATTTTCTTCCAAGTATCAATGAGAGATGGGAAATATGTAAAAATCTCTCTCAATCATTGCCTGCCTATTTTGTTTTTTTCTCATCACTATTCAACTAGAATTGATTCAGCTGAGATATTATTCATCGTAATCAATCATGGAAAGTAAACATTCTATACTAACAACAACAGTAGCCACTAGCCAATGTCCATAGAGAATCAATCAAAATAAAGAAATCCGGAGTCTGACAACGTTAAAACATCATCAACCGTCTGCCCACAATAACATTGATCATATATAGACATTTTGCGTCTGCAGCGGTTCCGAGTCCCACCCAAGTTTCTCCCCACCAGTTAGACCTGCTACATCATACAAGTCTATAATGCTCCCAAAGTCATTAAGAAATGTTTTGCAAGGTTCTTATATATACGGCGGACAATACCGATCCATTAGCAGTGCCCGGTGAATCCCGTTTCTCTATAGACCAGGACATGTACAAGTGCAGAATCAAGGCAATACTTCAACCCAGCACTCATAATCCCATCAAAATACATCTCAGGTGTTCAGGTTTCTAACTCACCTGGAAAGCACTGAATATTTATATACCTCGCTTTAATACAGTGTATCTAGCTTCCTGTCCTGTGTTTGTAAACGGTTCATCTAACAAGTAAACTCCAGACTTGTGGCTCATATGTCTTATTAGGCTTACAGCATTGTTAGCTTCATATAGCTTAACATATATTTTGGCTTGTCACAGTAAAAACAGCATTGAATTTCCATATGATTTTGACATTTTATGTGAAGGAATATCCAAGAAATATTTAAAACTTTCAGCCAATCAGAAAAATACCATCAAACAACCTTCAGCCACTCAGAAAAATACCATCAAACAACCTTCAGCCAATCAGAAAAATGTCATCATACAACCAACAGCCCATCAGCAGCAATATTTTCTTATACCCTTCAGCCAATCAGATGCATGCAAAAGTATCATTATCCCTTAACCAATCAGACCCTTCACCCAATCAGATACACCTGATTCTTCACCCTGCAGCAAAGAAGAAGCAAATACAAAAATTCCAGCCAATCAGATGCATTTTGCTACACCCCTTCCAGCCAATCAAAAGCATAGCATCATGCACTCTTCAGCAAATCAATATTTTTTACATCATTTAGCAAATCAGAACCTATATGTGTCTGATGTAACTTTCAGTCAATTTCACATATCTAATCAAATGTAAAGCTCTGCCAATACTGACCTCTTTTGTCACCCGAGTCATTTTCATTTTCTAGTCTTCAAGATTCCATGAGCAATCTTTGGACTTATGTGAACCAAGTATTGCTAGCATTAGAGTAAACAATATTAAGAAAGTAGTTTAAGGTAGATAAATACTCACCTCTGGGTATAATGCAAAAAAGGCACAGTCGTCCAAGATTTCCTCATACAGCATCTGAACTGTCAACACAAAATAAAATGAAATAAACAACATGCATAATTTTCTTTCTTTCATGTAAATGTTTTTATATTGTTTGAGAAGTCTTGTACAGTATATATGTGGTAATAAGAAGGGCTGGGTCGAGGATGAAGGAAAATGCTACCAAGGGTTAAGCATTTTGTTTTTAAAAGTACATAGTTCGAGATCTGGTTAAATGGTATACCTATGGTATTTTACAAAATTTTGGTATGATTCTCTTATTTAGATATTTGGCATTAAACATGCAGAGAATTTTCTGCTTACCGTATTACATTTTGCTAATCATACAGACATTGGCTTTCACCAACAGATCACCCATCTCTCATAAAACAAATACTGAGACAAGGATATATGCTGTATAATATGCACCGTCAAAAATTAACAATGCCCATTGTTTATTATTTTTCAAACTAAACCATGCTTTATCTGATTGGTCAGTAATTAAGTGTGAAAATTTTAAAAATACTTATTCGTCCAAGCAGAAATTTATGAACTTTATTTTCACTATTCTATAAATGAAATATGCTGCACTTGGCGGAATAAAGGTTAATGACAATTTGACAAAGCCGTATAGCTATACCATATGCTTAAGTAAAGTGTACATTTTATGCAGAATATTTAAAATTTCTTTGATGTAAATGAAATTCAAATACACACTTCTCAAAATAGAGCAAACTGTCATAAGTCAACTGAAGAAGTTGGCTTACTACTATAGCCTTGAAGTACCCATCTGTGGTTAAGTTTGGACAGGGACAATGCAAAGTGCAGTTAATATATTTGCCGAACGCCTGAGCTGGTACAAGATATTGACTGCCTTGTACGTGTCATGAGCGAACGTCATACATTTATATATACAGTCAACATGAACCTGATGCCCTTTATGTATTGTTCACACATGAACGCTGGGATATTTTTAAGTTGTGGAGAAAAGAGCAAGCAAACATATTTCAATTAGGATATAATGGCGAAAGAGATCCATATACGCCCCAATTTAGATTTATGTTAAACAAATAAGCCTGCCCATTACCAATGAATTTCTGTCCACCTTTGTATTTTTTTCAATCATTAGGTTTTAATGTTTTCCATCCATTACTTGTGATTAGCAGAAATGAAAATCGATTAGAGGGTGTTTTTAGGCCATTCATTCTATAGACCAGGGGGTGGTATTGGCACCTTCTAACAATATAATCGGCTCTTTGTGAAGGGGGTAATTGGAGAAAGAGCAGTTCTGTTTACACAGACTCCCGGTTATGGTGCTCAGAGTAATAAGGCCCGTCGACCCTGTCAGAGTAATATGGTCAGACGCATCACATTTATACTTTATATGGGCAATCAGGTCTTATTCAAAAAAAAAAAAAAATTGATTTGCAACTGGAAAAATTCAGAGTTCAATACAGGATTGGACCATATGGTCATTAGCAGACATCTGATAATGACAATCAAACTTATATATAGGAGTTTTTAATAAAATGACTGAGTAAACAGTTTTCTACTGGGGGTATAATTTATTCTGTAAGTGGCTGTTTCTTGACAAAGAGATTGGAAGTGTTCACACTTTTGACCATTAAATGACCAAGGTAAATCAACATTGTAAATACAGGTATATTGATAGGGCTATCATCTCTGTCACACCTCGTCTAGGCTACGCTAAATCTAATCAGAACATGTTGAAACATCTCTACTGCATTCTCTTCTCAGGTTAATTATACCCTTGTGATGCTTATACTTACAAATGTGAACAAAATGTGTCACATTTTTTTTTCTCCACAACTCAAAAATTAATTCCAAACACACTCAGGCAAATCCAATCGTGACTGAAAATTCATCAACAGATATCTGATTGTATGCACATTTTTATAGTAAAACAATCAAATCACACCCTTTAAAGAAATTAGCTACGCATTAAATTTTTAAGGGTGTCTAAGGAATGTGGTTAAGTTTCGTGAATAAATATAGGTGTGTCGACTTTATCACTTAAACATGGAAACAGTGGCAACAAATTGAAATTGTGCAAACCCACAAAGAATTCCGGGGGTGGTCTGTCCATGTTTATGCTAACAGTGTCTGCTAACAAAATTATCTTTCGAGTAGAACAGTTATGTATACCTATAAACACTGTTTGATAACTTACACAGGTAGGACTTGTATAGATTTTAGTACCTGTAAACAGGTAAGATATTTTGTTCAAGGTCCAGGTAACTCTGTCGGTGTTGACCGCTACAGGTGTAAACAAAACTATTGTGTGCCGAAAACAATATCGCCAGCAAAATGGAACGGTGTACCTCACCCCGCCCTCGTAAACTCTCTCACTTGAACCATATAGGTATACAATTCAATCACCACATGGCCAATTATGTTACTACAATGTCCTATTATGTATGGTAGTACGTACACCGTCAAATTTACTTTTGAATGTTGGGAAGGTCAATTCCCCCCCCACCCCCAATTTTTTTTTTTACGAAATGTTAAATTGAGCATTCTCAGTATACAAAGGATCATTGACATAATCTAAAAAAAAAAAAAATCACCTTTTCTCAAAAAGCTGATCAGAGGTTGACTCAGAAAGTCTTATAAAATAAATTTTCCAGTCAAACGCGTGCCTTCCTTTCCTCATATCTTATCATTTTTGTGGGCCAGCTGGATTTCTGTTAGATAGATATCAGAGGTCTCCTTATTTGAATAACACAGATTAAAATTGAGTACTTGATTCTGAAGTACCCTACACAGAATCTTAACATAGGTATCCATTCTGGTCCTCCGTTTTCTAGGTCTGCCTGAGGTCCCCTATCTATTGAGTACCAGGCTACGTACGGTACAATATACTTCAGTGTAGGAGTGGTCGGCCCTATAGTTAAATCATTTAACCTGTTCACTTCATCCAAACTTTTAACAAACACCCCTGTTTTAATTTTAAAATCAACCCTCTAAGTATATTACACAGTCTAGTTGCTGTCGGTATGTATGTGTGCCTAATATGCTGAAGTTTAAGCTTTAGAGGCCAAAACCCATTTTATCTTTCCCTATATATATAGCTATCAAGGAATATATACTTATTGTACAAAATCACAAATAATTTTATCATGATTCTAATCCAAAATGTATCAAGTTAGCAAATTCTGCATCACACAGAAAACATCTTAAGGTCTTAAAATAAATCACAAAAAGGAAAATCATATTTCGCAAACCTGTACATTTACACGGTATATATATATTTTACAAAAGCATTATTTTTTCCCCTATATATTTTCTCTACATCAAACAGTGCTAACCTTTTGCCTGTAATTTTGAGGTGACAATATTGACCGTGAATAACACAGCAATCATTGGCTATAATCGCACAGGTCTCCATTATCCAACTCACAAATACCTGTGAACACCTATTCTTGTCCCCATTACTCAACCAAGCTGAAAAATGATGTACGATGGCGAAAAATACGAAAACTGGGGACCAATGAAATGGTCATGATTAAAGGTTTGGGGTCTGGGATTCAAACAGTGATTACTAAATCAATAGTCTGAAACTCATAAAGCTCTTTGATGTTATGGCAAGCAAGTTGTATAATCAGCATTGGTCTGGTCACTTCTTGGCGATAAGAATTGATCTGTACCAGCACGAAGCTGACAGCTATCAAGATGAATATGGCTACCTTTCTCTTGTCTGTCTCCTCATAATTATCGCACAAATCTCTCACAAACATCAAACAACAACATCTAGTTTTTCACGAAGAAATTCTTTTACTTTATAGTTACCGTGATGTATGAAGTTTTATTGTGCTACATTGCATAATCTTGTTTGATATCTGAGTTACATCATCTTATGTTCGTGTTACTATAGGCTATATATATATATGCACCTTATAAAACTAAAAATGTGAAAGGCCAAAAAAAAAAAGTATGTCTGTTTAGGGTTCCCGACCGACCCTAGCTTTTTACCCCCGACCCAACACTTTTTGAAGGTAGAATTTTTTTTATTTTTTATTTTTTTTAAAACCTGCTGATTTTCGAATTTGTAAGAGGGTTTCTTGCCTTTCAAAATGGCACCCAGCTCTGTGTTGGTGCTAAATGTCAGCATATGGAGCACAATTTGCCTCCAAATGAACCTTGTTTATGTAATTCTTTGTTTTACATACAATAGTAGGGTCATAATCACATGACCACATGGATCGTAAAAATACAAAAAAAATAAAAAAAAATCGACCTACCTACCCTAGTTTTTTTGCCAATGCAACCCTAAACAGTCATATTTTTTTTTGGCCTAAATTAGCAACGATACACCTTCCTCAATTTCTTTTCAATTAAGATTGTTTAATCACGCAGAATAGTCAGATCAGAGATATTCATATTAACGCATTATTTTACATACATTTACGTGTCTTACTCTTATTTGATTCTTGCAATTGGGGAGGGAAGAAGGCTTTTTTAAAAAGAAACGAGATACATTCACAGTTTAAAAATAAGGTGTGGAATACACAATCAATTTATTGAAGACAAGTAGTATGTAAATGTAATACTTCCAAAATGTGAATATCACCTCTGACTTGCTAATTGCTGACTCATTCAACATGGACACGACTATTTAAACATAACATTGCTGGTCTTGGGCTCAATTCTTGGTGGCGACATCCTAGCTATTATTCAGTCAAAACTTTTTTGTAAAAAGGGTTAAGTTGGCTATATAGACGTTCTGAACAGCATTGGCTGCCATTATTGCAAGTATATATACCAGCATGCTTTATCCCCTATCTTTCTCAACTTGAAAGTGTTGAATCAGTGTTGTAGTGAGGTGTTTAACTCATTCACCCCTGAAATTTCATAATGAACTATTCCAACCTTTGAATTGGAACAGTTCAAATGTGTCTTAATTCAGGGGTGAATGAGTTAACAATTTCACTGGTAGTATAGAGATACAATGACTTAACGCTGACAATAGAAAATTTGGAGGTTGACATACTTGCCAACCCTCCCTATTAGGAGGTAGACT